TGGGCTGTGGAACGGATTAATTTCATAAGTAGAGGTACCACTGTACATCCTTTCTGTAGCTTCCACCTTATAATGTAATAGTGTCATGGTTGGTAGCTGGAGACTTGAAGAACCAGGACAGCATTTTAGTGAAAATTAACTATTGCTTTATTCTGGATTCTAGGACACACAAAGCTACTTCACAACGGTTAGAATCGACTATCAGTTTTCTCAAGTTAAACAATACTTTCCTTTCTCCAGCCCCTCCCCACACATGTAGCCAGCACCATCTCTCAGGAAAGGAAGGCTTTGTCATAAACAGTCATAAACAGCCCTAGTCTTTTCCCCGCTGCAGCCATCTGCTTCAAGCTACAATCCCCCTTGATTTCCCCCACTTCATACACAATATTTTGATATCAGATTTCTATGAATTCATAGGAATATGATAGTCCATCACCTCTGAAGCCTACTTTAATCCCCTTCCAGTTTATCAGAATAGTGTTATAGCAACAGCTATCAAAGCAATCAACCTTCATCTCTTCATAAGCTCACACCACAGGACTCTATATCTTCAACCAACTAATTCTTTAACTGTCAAAACAGTCTAACTCTATGTATCAACCAGCGAAATATACTATGCATAGCTATAACACCACTTAAGTTTCCCCCCCCCCCCTTTCAGGCTAGTTAACTCGTTTTAGCACAACTTAAGCCATCTGGTCTAGCGTCCCTGTCCTGACTGTCTGGGTCATACAGTTCAGGCATAAAGTCTCATAAATTCTGTCTCAGCATGGGCAGAATTTTTCCCTTCTTGCAAAGTCTGGATAGTCCCCACAGTTTGTCCTCCGACCTCAGTCTTCGGACTATAGGGCCCATTTCGATTGGATGAGTTCTTGGTGTAACTTGTGAACAATGGAAACCATTCAATGACACCCCCCCCCCGAGTGACTTTTAAAAGCCTCCAACTGGAGCAAAGGGCTATCAGGGGGTCTGTGCAGCTACGGGCCCCAGCTTTTTGTTTGTCTGGGTGTTCCTTTTAAAAAAAGGGCATCATCACTCCGTTCTCTGATGGCTGTGGCTGGACTGTTTTCTGTTAGATGGAGGGGTTTTTGTTGAAAGTTTTGTGGCACTGTGTTCTTCCAACTGGAATCTGGGGTTTTATTGGGATCCCTGTTTCCAAGAGGTCAAGCATCGCTGCACAGCACTTATCCCATCAGGGAACTGGTGCACCTCAACCTCTCAAGTTTTGATCTGACTCTGGCACCTGCAACTTATCTTGTTTGTCCTCCTAACCTTTGAGGGCACTGGCTCTGGGTCCCTCTTTGCTGTTATCCAGTGGAAGCAGGGCTTTTAAACTAGCCATCAGGTTATCTCTATCTGGATGTATCCCCTCTCTCAGGGTTGGTTCTGGTTTGGCTGTCTGGGCTAAATGGTTTGTTGGACCTCTGATGGCCGCCACCTCTTGGAGCTCTATGGGAAAATGTTTGCAGCTCAAATCTCTCTGGCTAGTCTCTAAAACTTTGTCTCTCAGGCCCCCTTTTCCACTCTCGGCTTCGAGCACTGAGTACCAGGCTCTTTTGAGGGGAGCTCATTGGACCCCAGTTTGAGCAGGTCAGAGGGTCTCACCAACATCCAGGTTTTCTTTTCCCGCCTTTAGGATCCCTCTGCTGTCAGAGGTTGTCTCCAAAGTCTTTTAGGCTCTTAAAGCCTCTGGGTAAGGCTCAACCCTGCCTGCCCCCCCCCCCCCCCCGGGTTTTTCAAGTCCTGGGCTTGTGGGAGGCAGTAAGGCTCCAGTCACCTCTACCCAGACCTCAGACTGTCCTACTCCTTTTGAAGTTTTCACCTGTCTCAAGGAAACTGCAGGGTCTACCATTTGGGCACTAACGCATAGAGGTTTAGGTCTCACCATGGCTCTGGCAGCAGTCTGCAATGGGGTGTCTTTCCCCCTGCAAGGCTCTCTCTCATCGAAATCTGGCACTCACTGGGTTTGTTGACCTGCTGGTGCAGTTCTCGGTTTCATAGAATCATAGTTGGTAGAGACCACAAGGGCCATCCAGTCCAACCCCCTGCCATGCAAGAACTCAAAATCAAACCATCCCTAACAGATGGCCTTTCAGCCTCTGTTTAAAGACCTCCAAAGAAGAAGACTCCACCACACTCTGAGGGAGTGTGTTCCACTGTCGAACAGCCCTTACTGTCAGGAAGTTCCTCCTAGTGTTGAGGTGGAATCTCTTTTCCTGTAGCTTGCATCGATTGTTCTGAGTCCTGTTCTCTAAAGCAGCAGAAAACAAGCTAGCACCCTCCTCAATATGACATCCCTTCAAATATTTAAAGAGGGCTATCATATCCCCTCTTAAACATCTCTCTTCCAAGCTAAACATACCCAGTTTCCTAAGTCGTTCCTCATAGGCTATGGTTTCCAGACCCTTCACCATTTTAGTCGCCCTCCTCTGGACACTCTCCAGTTTCTTTACATCCTTTTTGAATTGTGGTGCCCAGAACTAGACACAGTATTCCAGG